CCACTGAGATGGGATACCAGGGCAGCGCCGCCATTGGCACCACCACAGGGAGCACCAAACCCAGCTCTGCAGAGGCTTCTCTGTGGCAGGAGAGCTGTGCCACCCCACGGACACCCCACGGACACCCCACGGACACCCCACTCCCAGCCCGGCTCTGCTCAGCCCCTCTCACCACTCCTGCTCTTTGTCCACAGCCAGACACGAGCAAAACAAAAGCAAATTCCCCAGCAGCTGAAGGTGCCATTTTTATGGCTGGGCTGAACGAGGAAGTATTTTTTGATCTGTTAAAAATCCTGAATATTATCTGACAGTTTATCTTGTTTCTCGAATCCGTGTCTTTGCAGCAACGCCAGCTCATTTACATGTGTATTGCGCCTGCCTCCACGGGTGCTGAGGTCAATTGAAACTCAAGAAAAGAGGAGAAATTTATGCAAAACTGTTGATTGCATTTGTATGTAATGAAATCATCCAATATTCATCTGACTATAGACTCTAATCTGAAAGGAGAAGTGAAGGACATAAGAGTCACTGGAAAGCAATAATGAGCTTCTGTAGTGATTAAAAAAGCACTTGAGCTTTCTGAAAATCCAGCCAGAAATCGTGTCTAATCAACACGGAATATAGGAGGCAGAGATTACATTGATACATTTTGCAAAGCTCACTGTTGAAAATGCATGCTCGCTGTAAACTCTGACATGCCATCCAGGCTGTGGATACAGATCCGGGCGGCACAATCAGCGCCCGCCCGTCCCTGGCACAAAGCAATCTCCGTGTCTCTGCTCCGTGACTCACAAGGAGCGCAATCACTTCTATTTTCAAGAGCAATGTTGTTTTTTAACTATGTCGAGAGCTTCCAGCTTCCTTGGAGTTTTTCCTTGCCTGTGCCTCAGTTGCTCCTGTCCCTGTGGCCGCGGGGCTGGGCCAGGAGCTCAGGCCTGTCCTGGTGTGCCAGCCTGGAGCACTGGGACATCCTGGTGGAGCTGAGTGGCTTTGGGCAGCCTGGGATGGGCACAGGTCTGTCCTGAGCAGGGATGGGCACGGGGATGGGCACGGGGATGGGCACAGGGATGGGCACAGGGATGGGCACAGGTATGTTCCCAGCAGGGAATGGCACAGGGATGGACACAGGTCTGTCCTGAGCAGGGATGGGCACGGGGATGGGCACAGGGATGGGCACAGGGATGGGCACAGGTCTGTCCTGAGCGGGGATGGGCACAGGGATGGGCACAGGGATGGGCACAGGTCTGTCCTGAGCGGGGATGGGCACAGGGATGGACACAGGGATGGGCACAGGTATGTTCCCAGCAGGGATTGGCACAGGGATGGACACAGGGATGTTGGGGCTGTGACCCCCAGGGGACCCCCACCCCTCCATGCCACAGCAGTGGGACCCTGGCAGTGCCCCAGGCTGCAGGTGCTGTTGCAGAGGGGTCCCTGCCAGGGCAGCAGGCTGTGGGCAGCCCAGGGGGTGCAGCCTTGGCCCTCCCTCACCCTCTGTCCTGCCAAGGCCAAACCATTTGGGGCTGATGTGGCCTCACTGACACCGACCCACATCGGAGCGGCCCAGCTGCGTCCTGGCCCGTGTCCCTTCCCCTCCTGGGTTCTTTGGCACAGCTGGAGCTCCTTTCCCACCCGCCAACAGCATCAGCTGCAGCTTCTTATCAGCTCTGGGTGCAATCCAGGCTGGAACCGAGTGAGAGGCTCCTGCTGGTGCCAGGGGAGGAGTGTTTGGAGCAGGCAGACCTCGTGCTGCAGCTCCTGATGTGGAGCAGCAGGTGATTTGGGCTGCAAAGGGAAAGTGGAAGCTCTCCAGGGCCACCCTGTGAGCCAGCCAGTGGTGAGTGCCCATCCTCTCTTTCCGGGGGTTCTGTGTGCCTGGGAGGTGCTGGGGCTCTGGGTTATTCTGTGCTTGTCCCGCAGGGAGCAGGATGGGGCAGAGCTCCCCAGGTTCCTGTCCTGTCTGCCCGGCTTTGGTGGCACCAGGGCTGAGAGCAGTTTCTGAGGGCTCTGTGGCTGCTCCTGGCTGATGCAGGGCACAGGGGTGGGCGGGGGTTGCAGGTAAATGGGCTCCCAACCATGCAGGCAGCTCTGTCCCAGCCCAGCACCAGGGCAGTTTTACCACAGGTTGTATTCCTTGTGTAATGATAAATATTTGGGAAATTCCCACGTGCACGGCCTGCTGTAGCTCCACTGCCACTACCCAAGGGCTTGGAGAAAGGGCAGAGGCTGCAGGAGCCTCCAGCAGCAGCAGCAGCTCCTCTCCACCTGCCCTGGCTCTGTGCAGCTCCCAGCCCAGCACTGCTGCTGTTTCTGGGCAGGTATCAGGGAAACCCTTCCAGCCCAGGCTGCTCTGGGGATGCTGAAGCTGCAACAATGGCAAAAAAAAAAAAAAAGCCCAGTTGATAAATGTCAGAAGAAATCCAGCAATGGCTGAAAGCAATTTCCCGAGCACTGGAACCGCCCTGGGCTCGCCATCTTCCTTTATTCATTTATCATGGTAAGGGCTTTGGCCAAAATACACAAAGCAGAGAAATTGTTGACATGTGGGGCCCTAGCAGAGCAAATCCTTCATCCTCCTCCCCCTCCCTGTGGCACACAAACTAACTTTTGGGGAGTTGTTTATTTAAGGAGTGCAGAGCACTTGGTGCTCTTTGAACCCAAATGCCTTGGGAGTAGGGCTGGGGCTGCCACCACCTTCCTGCTCTGCCACCACCTTCCTGCTCTGCCACCTCCTTCCCGGGGCTGCCACCACCTTCCTGCTCTGCCACCTCCTTCCCGGGGCTGCCCTCGGGAGGTACCTGCTCCCAGTGAGGAGCTGAGCTGGCTCTGCTCTGCTGCACCTCCTCCAAGCCCTCAGCTCTGCTGCCAGAGGCTCTCAGGCGGTTTGTAGGTGGCTGAGGAGGCAGATGCTGCTTTTGGGAAGTTCCTGTGTTGGCTTTAGGTCCTCTCAGTGCTGGCTGAAGCAGCTGTGCTGGCAGCACTGGTTTCAGGTCTCTCCCCACAGAGCCCCTGCCCACCCTGGTGCCCTGGCACGGGGCAAATGCCTGCTTTGGAACACGTGAGCCAAGGGAACACACCAACCAGGACCTGGCTGTGGTGAGGCTGCTGCTCCACACCCCATTTTGACTTTATTTCAAGCAGAAATAGGTGCTGAGGTTTGCAGCAGGACAGACAGGTTCCTCTCGGGGTGGGCCAGGGGCTGAAGGTGTGGGGCAAAGAGGGGGCACAAAGTGAGCAGGGCAGTCCTCCCTGTGCCTCCAGCATCTCCAGTCCTCCTCCCTGGTGTTTTATTTTTGATCTCAGTTCATCCAATTCTGTTCCCACCTGGATAAAGGCAGCAAGGAGAGCTCCCCCCTCCCTCCAGCACACCCCAAGGCAACAGCCAGGGCACAGAGCTGCCCCTGCCCACCTCTGAGGCTGCTGGCCCCAGGCTGGGGCAGCCCATTCCTGCTCCAGGGCAGCTGGGATGATGTTTGTGATGTTTTTGACAATGGGGATGGTGTTTATCCAAGCAGCTCCTTGGTCTTTGCTGCCAGCAGCTTGTCCATCTCTGCAGCAGCCTCATCTGCCATTTGCTGGATCTGTGGCAAGACAGCACAAACCAGAGCTCTGTGTGAGGAGAGGGCACAGCTCAAAGGGAAAGCAGTGACCAAACTCCCTTTGGAACAGAGCTCAGGTGCCTCAGGTGCCTGGTGATGGCTGGAGCCCTGCCCAGGGCCAGCTCCCCTGGTAACAAGGGATGGACATGGCCAGTGGGCAGAGGGGATGGAGGCAGGCAGGGAAAGCCTGGAGCACACAGTGGGCTGTGCACTGCTTCCAGGGGATGAAGATCTGCTTGTCCCCAAGGCTGACAATGGCCTGTGCTCATAATGGAAGATGTGGGTACAAGAAAGGAATTCCACAGGAGATGTTCCCTCCACCAGTGCACAACACATCTGTGAGTGAGCTCTGGGACAGAGGCTTCCTGCAGGATTTGGTTACAATGGCATGGCCATTTTTCCTGCTTGCACAAACCCTCTGTATATCCATGTTTATTTTTGTGAGCACACACAGAACTGTCCCAGAGCATTTGCAATGTATCTAACTTTAGCTGTTAATAAACAAACAGCTAAGGAGTAATGGCCTGCCTTCAGAGGCATCAATTCAGCAGAACACTTAGGCTTGTGCCTGAGTTTATGCCCAAGTAATTGACTTTAGTGACATCTGCTCTTAGGGAATTAGGCATGTGCTTAAGTATTTTCCTGAACTGGAGCCAAAAGCTCAGAACAGAGATAATCTTGCAAGCCTTTTCATTAATAACAACTGGAGCAATGCTCATTAACACATTTGCAGTGGCCAGGCATGGCATGAGCGGTGGTACAGCCATGGTCGTGGATTGTTTCACTCCCAAAATTCTGCTGGTTTGTGCAACAATCCCTTCTAGTACAAAAGCTTTTGGGGAATTCTTTTTCTGTGTCAGCTTACAACGGCTCATATCCTAAATCTGGCTTTGAGATTGAAGCCCCAAATCTCACAAAGAAAAAGCAGATACAAATGTCACTGCCAGCTCCAGAAATTCAGCCCAGGGCTGTCCATTGCCCCACTGGGTTCTCAGTGCTGAGGATTTGTCAGCAGAGCTGGGACAAAGCACTGAGCTGTGGGACACCAAAACATGGCAGAAGGAAAGGAAAATTACCTGCTTTTCTAGCAGCCAGATGGTATCTTCTGACACTTTGCTCTTGGACTTCTTTACTTGGGTGATGCTTTTGCTTCTCACCTTTCTCAGGGCCTCTTTGGACTTGTTGGTGGCCTGCTTGGCCAGCTTGGCCAGGCTCTCCCTGTGCTCCCTCGTGACCCTGGGGGAGAGAGGAAAGGAAAAGCAGTGTCATGTGCAGCACAGCCAGATGTATTTTCTGTGAAGGACTCTGGGAAAATGAGTGATCCTCCCCAACTGGGGCTGCCCTGCTCAGGGACACACAAGAGCTGCTGGTTTAGATGGAGCTGGCTCTGTGTGCAGGCACAGTCTCAGGGCAGAGGGACTGAACAGCTCAGGACACGTTTTTATTATGCTTGGGTTCACCTGGGGAAATCTGCCAGCTCTGCACAGCATTCCAAGGAAGCAGTCTTGAACCTACAATGGAAAATTTCCAGCTCAGCTCTGAGCTGGGGATCTTGGACTCAATCTTGCTTTATAGCTCTTGCTGCAGTGCCTGAAAGTCATCTTGAAATGCTCAGACTTTCCTTACTTCCTGCTGCCAAAGCATGTGTGGGAAAGAGGAAAAATCCAGCTCCAGGCTTGAAAGATCAAGTGAAAAGTGTCATCCTAAAAAGCACAAAACTGCAAAGCCAGGAAGAAATGTCTGCTCCAGAACCTGGGATTTGCCTCCCTGCAGCTGAAGAGCCTGAATTATGTACCTGGAAGTTAATGAGCTTATCTTTCACCTAATGTGATTCCAGCTCACCATGAGCAGGATTTCCCACCAAGATGATGTGAACACCTGGGGTGACAAGAGGATGCTGCTGGACATGGTAAGCCACAGGTAACTCAGACCAGGGTGAACCCTTGATGTGGGGCCAGTTACTGCTGTGGTGTCACAGAAAATGCTCAACTTTCTATCCCAAACTAAAACCTGGTGATGAGGGGCTCTGGGATAAAAGGCTCAGGAATGGCTGATGTGTCCCCTGAGCTCAGGTCATGCTCCAGCACCTACAGCTAACCACTGTTAATTGCCAGTGCTTAACATTAATATTTTAATTATTTTCATAGCTCTTGGAGTTTCCAGACTGCCTGGAGAAGGAAAAACCCCGGTGCACTCCCTGAGACTCTCTAGCAGGAGAATGCGTGGGGGTGATACTGCAAAATAAACATTTCACAGGAGTATTTAGAATTGGCTGCAGCAGCCTGGGTCACCAAAACCCTGGGGCCAGGACTCTGCACAGAGAGCTCAGGAAACGTGGGGTGAGGGTGCCTGGGCTGTGCCCCTCCGTGGCTGTGGGCCATGGGGGGCTCTGGGGGCACGGCTGGACCCTCAGCCCATCCCCACAGCCAGGCCTCTGGCAGCCATCCCCATCTCCCAGCGCCAGAGGGAAGAGGTTTCCCAGAAGCAGTTGGAATTTACAGGAATTCAGGATGGCCAGGAAAGCTGGCAGAGCCAGAGAGCCAACCCAGCCCTGGCACCCAGGGCACCCCAGGCTGTGGAGGGGCTGGCCAGGGAATGTCACATGGAATCCCAGAATATCCTGAGCTGGAAGAGCCCAACTCCTGGCCCTCAAAATCCCAGCCAGTGCCTGAGAGTGTTGTCCAAATGCTCCTGGAGCTCTGGCAGCCCTGGGGCTGTGCCCATTCCCTGGGGAGCCTGGGCAGGGCTCCATTGCCTCTGGGGGAAGAACCTTCCCCTGAGCTCCAGCCTAACCCACCACATGTGGCTGGAGGATTCTGGTCAGCCTGGCCCCAGTGCCCGACCAGCAGGGAGCAGGGATCTCTCCCTGGGGTTCCAGCACTGATTCCTCCAGGATTCTCACACCCAGCAGAGCCCTGGCACACCCAGAACCCCCAATGGAGCTCACGGGCACAGCTCTGCCTCAGGGCACCTCCTCAGGCAGCTTTTTGGGGTCAGTGGGGAGTGAATCCTGGCTGCTGAGCCTGCAGGAGGGGGCTGGGCTCTCTCCATGCCCTGCTGGGCTCTCTCCATGCCCTGCTGGGTGGAGGGAGCAGCTCAGAGGGGCTGCTCAGGGTGGGAGCCCAGCCTGGCTGTGCCCAGGGTATCGCTGGCCTGCCCGGGGCTGCCGAGCCTTGAAGGAAATGTTTTTGTTTATGCAGCACTGCCAGATTTCCTCTGCTTCTTGGCACGGGGTCACAGCTTTCATGCCTCCCTGTCTGTCTTTATTAACACCAATTTCTTTTTATCACCGCGCAGCGCCGGGGAGTTTCTCAGCGGGTTTTATGTTCCAGCCAGACTGTGTGTAAATTCTCAGCAATGCTACCAATAATGCCAGAAACAGAGACTTTTCCAAGCAGATGCTGTTTCTGGTTAAGGAATCCATCAACACGAGCCAGGCCCCAGGTTTCTAAGGACAGTTGTTTTAATCCTGCCCCGAGATCTGGGACTTTTAAGCTGTTCTTAGGTATGTTTGCTTTTCTGTCTAGTAACCATCGTCCCTACCCCCTCCCAGAGCCAAAACCAAGTGTGAAGTGAACTTGGGGAAAGGGGGTCAGATGGGAAATGAGGACAAGCTCCCAAGGAGCAGCAGGGTCAGTCCCTGCCATCCCCAGGGACAGCCTTGTCCTGCTGGCCCAGGGCAGAGCCTGCTGAGTGACATCCCAGGGGGTCACATCTCCTTTTCTGAGGAACATCTTTCCTTCTGCCTCCCCCAGCACTGCAGGTCCCACCCCAGAGAGTGGCAGAGCAGACCCTGAGAGGACAACCCAGCTCAACACAGGACATTGCTGTGGGTAAGAGTGATTCCTGCACCTCCAACACCAGGAATTTCCTGTGAAGGAGAGGGATCAGTTAAAGGAAAGCGGGCTAAGCTAAACACTCTGCATTCATAATTGCAGATAAACACAGGCTGCAACATTTATTGCTCAATAAAACGCAGGCAAGAGGCTCCTGATGATGAGCAGGAGCAGCTCACAACAGCTTTGGGGTGTTTTCAAGTGAAATGTTTTGGTCCTTTCTCCCCATAGTAGGTATCTGCTTATTTCTTAAAGGGCAAAGGGAAAAAAAAGGCTCACAATGAGTCATTAAACTTTCAAATGAGTCATCTGGCTTTCAGTAAAGCATGTGTAAAAATATTACTGATTTACAAACAATATCCAGTGTAACACAATGGGTCCAAAAAAGATGAATCTAAAAATGAGGCAACACCATAAAAGACACAAGGTCAGGTCAAATTCGGCCAAGAGATCAACCAATACAAATGTTCCCATGGATGGTTTTCTTTACTTTTTTTCCTATTTTTTTTTTGTAATTTTTATTTTTAAACCCTCAGAGGCTGCTTTTTATACAAATAAATATTGCCTATGCAGTGCTAGCCACACAAACAGGAGAATGCCTTGGGGAGCAGAGGGATCCTGGCAGGCAGCACAAGTAAACACCAACCACACGAGTGTATTCTTTCTGTTCAAACTGCATTGCAAAAACTAAACTGATAGAATAAATACTGAAAACAAAACTCCATTTTTAATGCTCTGTTGAAATGTTCTGGAGCACAGCTGGACCTGCACAAAGCAAAATATGGCACATGTGTGTCCAGCTGACAGGTCAGGCTGAGGAGTGGTTATAACAACAGGTAAGGACAATTTGGATTTGGTTTCATTTTTGTTGTGCCTCCCTTCATGAAAGAACCAAAGCCTGCAGAACCAATATTAATATTGTCTCTTCATTTCTGATTTGTTGCTTATTTTGCACACCTGACGTAATTCTGCAATTTCACTCCATCTGTCTGTCATACATTCTTTCATGAACTGCTGGAAATAATGCAAAACTTTGAAAATTTGTTAAAAGTAAACGAGGGGTAGAATCATCTTTGCCCTGCCTTTTTCACTAGGGGGTTTAAAAGGCTGGAACTGTTTGTGTTTTAGGTGAGTGGCTGAAACTCCCACACCCCAGACATGGGACTGGAGTGCCAGGGAGCAGATCTGGGGCACAGAATCCTGAACTCAGGAGTGCCCAGCAGCCAGGGAGGGACCAGGAGACGCAGGAGGGGAACACAGGAGCTTCCCTGGGAAGAGGAGCCTTGTCTTCTCTCTGCAGCACCACACAAGATAGTGACAGACCTACACATTTGTTTAAAAACACAGGATTTTGTTAAAGCTGGGCATTTGCAGTTTTGGAGTTTCCTCCCCTGCAATTCGTATTCAAGGATGACCCAAGTGCCCATTAACAATCAAAGCACCGTGCAGCAGCCCGGGAGCCTCAGCAATTACAAAGATAATGGTGCCCTCCTCCTCCTCTGCCTCCTCTCCTGAGGAATGGGGGAAGGGCAGGGAGCACAGGCAAGGAAAATCAGCAAATAGAATGATAATGTCACTGCCTCTCACCCACAGCCACGGAAAGCTGCAATTAGACTTCTCTGATCAAAATGCTGGGTAAAATTCCACAGAATGTTTAGAGGAGATTTACAGCACACCAAATACCTGCCTCATCTTTACCAAGAAGCCACCTGCTTGTGCAAGGGGTTTGTGCACGCCCTGTGTGGGAGCTGTTTGTCTTCAGCACGGTGGGAAACCATGCCCAGCCACACCCGCCCAGGGTGCTCAGGTGCTCCACAAGGTCTGAGCACCCACAGGAGCTGATGAATTTCCCTTGTGCCAGGCTCTGTGTGTGTCAGCGACTGGAGCTGCTGGGAGATTCCTCATTTCATCTGAGAGCAGCCCCATGCCCAGGCAGGGCCAGGATCACTTCTGAGCCAAACTGAAGCATGGATGCAGCAGCACCTCCTGCCTTGTCCAAGGTTTGTGTTGGATGAGGGAAATGATGCTCAGCCCTTGCCTGAGTAACCTGTTTTTCCAGCCCCATACTTAATTTTGAATACAGCCACCAGTTACACACTGTGTATTACACAAAAGAGTGAGCAGATTTTTTGCCAAAGATATACATTTCCTTCTCACTTTCATCAGTTCCTTTTAGTGCTCTCTGCAGCAAGGTGCTACTCTCCCCTAACATCACTGGTTCAGTGCTGGTGTAATTGCAGGAATTTAGAGCAGGGCAGCACAGAATCAGCCCCTGAATTTAAGCAATACAGTTTCAAAACCTTTTGGCTCTCTCTTTCAAAGTGCTGCAGCCAGCCAGGACCAAGCTTCCTCTGCAGAGGGAAGATGAAAAATAAGACCCATCATCAGATGCCAAGATGTGGTGACAGAGCTCAGACACTCCCAAGAGGTTTCACAAGACCCTTCCAAGGGCTCAGATGTTTTCCTGAACCCAAACTACAGCTCTCTGGAAAGCAGCTGCATGGGGATACACAGCAATCCTGCATGTTTGGCCTCTGAAGGGCACTCCCTGCATGATGCAGAGCTGGGGCATGGACACTCACTTGGGAACTGGCACCCGGATCACCGTCCCGTCCACCTCGGGGTTCAGGTTCATGCCACTCTCCCTTATGGCCTTTGCAGCTGCAGCTGTGCTCTGTGGAACAGATCAAAAGGTAAAGGGAATTAGGAAATAATCATTCCCATATGCCAGAGCTCTGTCAATAGCTGGCAATCCATCTCCATGGAACATGGAAACATTTACTTGCGTTACCAGTGGGATCAGGAAGTGCCATTGGTGCAGAGAGCTTTGATCAGAGCCAGTGGGAGCTGCGGCCGCTCGTGCTGGGGTAGGGGGCACAGGAGGAGAGGGGAAGGGAGGCAGCAACAAAAGAAAACTGCTTTGCTTCTTTGAAACTGTTTTCATGGTTTGAGGCAACGCAGAGTGAAACCGCAATAAATTCCCAAGGCAGGGCCCGACTGTGGCAAAGGAGATGAAAGATTCTGAGCATTTGAACATTCCAGCTGAATGTTTCCCCCTGGAAATCACCCGGTGCCAGTTCTGAAACCCTAACGAACTTAACCACTTCAGCACCACAAGCTGACCACAGGACACCTCCCAAAACTCCCCCTGCTGTGTTGGGAAGGGGGTGGCAGCTTTGCCTGGTGACTGCAAGGTGATTTCAAGGCATCACCCCCACCACAAGGTGAGTGCACCCCTCAGAGTGCCAGGCTTTGGGGTTAAAGCAGAGCTTGGCCAAGAACACCCACAGGGCTCTGCCAGGTCACTTCATTCTTGACTCTGACAAGCCCCAGGAGGTTTTTTCCTGTGGCTCTCGTTTCCTACCAGGCATGATGCTATTTCTGATATTCTTTGCCATCATTAACTTCAGCTCCAGGCTGCTGCAGTATTTATGTAGCTCAGACTGTATTTATAAAGCTCAGCTTTTGCCAACTGAGGCACAAACTAAAGCTCTGCAGATTTGCTCAGGTCCCTCATGTGTGACCTCACTGAATGAGATGAATGCTCTGCTGGTGTTCTGCAGGACACAACTGCTGTCCCCTGAAACTATGAGGGCAGAGAAAATGCAACCAGAATGATCTCAGCACGTTAGGAATGTCAGTGTGTTATTCCATGGACAGTGCCTGGTCTGCAGGAAAGAAATAGTAAAAGCTGTGTTGTTTAATATAGATATTGGAGGAGATAGAAGAAGAGGAAAGTAATGAGAGAAGGGAAAATATTGCAATATTGCCTCCTCTTGTAGCCTGTGAAAAAAATAACTGTATTTAAAAACCCAGTGTTGTTTGGTTTTATAACTCCTGGGAAGACAGACTTTGGCTCTGCAAGTCCTCTTCTATGATTATTTCTCCGACTTTTCAGGCAATTTTATTTTCTTCTTAGTGTCATGAACTACTGACTATATGCTGTAAATAATGACATCAAGTAATCAGGTCTCTAATGGTTTTAGTCCAATCTATCACAAAACAGGTGTGGGTATAAAGCAACTGTGGTGAGAGAAATGTTCAATCGTCCTTTAGCACAGAAAGTAAATGTAGGCAATGCTATGTAGAGGATATTTAATTTCTCCCATGCCCATTTCTCAGCCTGAGCTCCTGCCTGGATATGGGATAAGCCATGGAGGGACTTCCCTGGCCCTCTCAGGACCTCACTGATGAGAGGCCTCCATTCTTCAGGGCCTTTATACACACGGGATACACTCTAAGAAACACTCAGCATCAAGTGCCTTGCACTGACCTCCTCTGAGACTTTGCTGACTTAATTAATTGGGGAAAGCCGTTGCAAAATAAATAGAGATAAGGCCTGGCACAGCTCCAGCCCTGGAGCAGGATGAATTGTTAACCTTGAGCTCACTCCTGCTGCCCTGTGCCCGGCGCTGGGACCTGCTGCAGGCACCCCCAGGGTGGGCTGAGCTCAGCTGAGCTGGGATTTGGATTTGCTGCCTCATTCAGGGGCAGGCCTAAGGCTCCTGCAGAAAATTAAAGAACTTGTCTCTCACAGAAGATAAACCAGAGCCCCTGATTTGGGCTCTGACCTGCGGGTGCTGCCAAGGGAGGAGCTGGCCAAGCTCAGCAGTGCCCAGGTCGAGCTCTGTGACAGCACTGAGCATGAGCCAGCTCAGTCCCACCAGGGAAGCTGTTCAGAAGGTCACAGGCACCATCACAGCTTCTCTCAAGAACTCTCAGGGCTATCAGCAGCAGTAATACATAAACAAGTTTCAGAGGTGTCTGATGAAGTCCCCAGCACAAATTCCAATGACACATCCGGTTCTGTGCATGGCCATGTCCTGACAAGGAACTGAGATGAATACAAGGGGGCTGACAGAGCATTGCAGCCATGAGTGCAGCTCAGGTGAGTGTGTGTGCTCACACTTCTCAGACATGCATGGGAAATGGCAAGGGCACAGTGAATCCAGCAATCTGGTCCATGGTGCTTTGTGCTGTTTTGCAGATCCAGCTGAGGGAAAATGCCTGCAAAGCAAACCCCTGGAACTGTGGCACTGCTTGGATACAGCCCTGGGAGCAAGCCCAGCACTCAGTAACTGTGCTGTGAGCCTGTGTGCTGCAGGTGAGCTGCTCTGGGGGCCACGTGGGGCTGGGGAGCTGCTGTCAGCAGCAAATGCCATTTCTGCTCAGTGTCAGCCCCGGTGACACAGCCCAGCCCCAGCCCTGCCGCCTCTGACTGATCCTGTCTAAATGCTCCTTTCCCCAGCACCAACCTGTTTGTTCCTGTGGCAATTACCTCCCCTGCCAACGTGTCCTCACCTCTGGGAAGCTGGTCATGTTCACTGTCAGGAGCTGGGGGGACTTCTGTGAGATCTGCCCCAGCTGGTTCAGCGGAAACTTCCCGTCCTTTGTCACCACAGTTATGTGATCCAGGGCCCCTCAAAAGAACCAAACACAGGGAGCCTCAGTGGGACAGAACACTGTGCAGGGATGCTGGACAAAAACGCGTCCACATTGTCCCACTTCCCTTCTGCCATGCAAAATGCAGAGGTTACAAAGGAAAAAATGGTGTTTATTCAGCCCTCAGGTGCTGTTTGTGTTCAGGCATCCCCTGTTTATTCACAAGGTAAATAATTCAAAGCTGCTCTAAAGCACAAAAACGTGAAAACAAAACTCTTGTTTGTTTTTGCTACTAGAATAGGAAAACTAAGCAGGATTGTTAAGAATTAAAGGGAAATGGTTATTTTTTAAATTCTTACAACTTAAAGAAAATAAAAATGTTGCTATAAAAATCAAGACAACTATTGTTTTTAACTTAGCAGCACTATCTAAAACCCCTCTATTTTCTTCCAGGCCCCCAGAGGGGTGTTGTACACTGCCCAATTTAAAGTATTCCATTTCTCCCTGAGCTGCTCTTAATCTGCTCTCTATTTTCTGCTGCAAAATGTTAAGAGCCCAAAAGGCACATGGGACAGGAGGTACTTTATCAGTGCAATTAAAAAAAATACCTATGGTTAAAATAAATAGTTAAGAGACTGAGCTAGGCTTCCCAGCTCCATTAAAGACAGAAGTGCCCCTGCCAGAGCTGGGGTGGGGAATGATTCAAATCTGGTCATTGTTTAATGTTAAATTTTATCCCTGAAACTTGATACACTTACAAATGCTCCGAGTGTTATAGTAACTGCAGCTTAGGCAAACATTCACATTTCTTCCTAAAACACAGAATTTATGAAGGAGGCTCCTACAGGTTACTACCCACAAAGATGCACAGCAGAAAAAAAGGTTTGTATATGCCAGACACCAGCCCAATGGCAATTTCCAAAAGGATCATTTAATGGCAATTGGGTTTTTCCTGCCCTACTGCACCATTAGCTGACAACCTGCTTCTTCATCACATCTGCAAACAGTTCACTTAGACACTTTTGACATCTCCCACTTAAAAAAGCTATTTCCAGGAAGCTATTAACAAAAATGGATCCTTCCTGGTCAAGCTCAGGGTGAAGAAAGCCTCTAGCTGGGATGTCAGGGCTGTAGGAATTGGGTAACTCCAGGAAGAGAAAATTGATTTTGAAAAAATCTGAGCTGTCCATTACTGGGATTTGTATCCTTATTTACAGGCTACAGAGCATCACACAAGGAAGTTACCAACCTGGTGAGGTTCTAACACTGAGATTTCTGCTGAAATCTTCTTTCAGAGCTTCTATGACTGCCTGCATATCTTCACTGGTCTCCTCCAAATTGATAATATCCTCAACTAGGGCAGCACTGATATTCACTTTGGCTTGACTCTGCCCTTTGCCTTTAGCTGCAGATTACACAAAAGATTAGTTTCTATTTCTGACAAGTTAGTTAGAAAGCAGAAAGAAGACATTAAAGTGAGATTTAGAATCAAGTCTAAGATAAACTGAAGTAAAACAAAAGTAACTGTATTTTTAATGAGTAAACAGCTCACCATTTGAGCACAACAGCCAAAATCAATAAATATATTAAAAATGCTTATAAGTGTTGAAAGAGAGGGTGTAAAACCGTGAGAAAAGCTGCGG